ACACCATCACCACGATTATTCTGCAGGGGCAAAAGAAACTAGTACACAAAAAGCTGTTGAAATTGCTGAGGGGCCAAGCGATGTTGCTGCTCAAGTGATAGATCAGTGTTTCACCGGGTCACATGACTGCTCTTCAAATGCCACATGTGTGCCTCTGAAGGGGTCGTATGACTGTATCTGCAACCTTGGATTTGAAGGAGACGGCCGAGTTTGTGTTGGTATGCTATTTCGTTTCTTGATATTTTGTTTAAGACTGTTAATCGATCATTGGTTAAATTTTTGCCACGCGATAATTAATCTTCTTAGCAGAGACAGGAGTGTGGTATTCTCCCTTATTATATGGGTAGCTGCGTGAGCGGGCAAGATGCCGCTATCTTGCCCGCTAGGGATTTCCCGCTGTGTCCCGCAAGAACTGAAATTTGGTAAATCCTTTATTAACCAAGATTGTTCGGTCAAAATGGCTAGATATTGGCCTTGTTCTTTTTCTGCTTGTTTATGGACCTCACGCTTGATCAATAATCCATATTTCTTGACCAAGGTAAATTGCCTAAACTTTGTCTGCCCAACACCAATGGTGCATAGCATTGGTGCATGAACGAACGGAAGAAGCTCAGACAAACGAGCCAGCGAACGGAAAGTTGGATTTTTTAAGTTCAGGTCACTTGCGCGCATAACCTTTGCAGTGCAGTGCTTTAAGGAATGATTAAAAAATTTTTACCGTGCAATTTGTCAGTCAATAGTGCTTCCCAAATGACAATGTAAGATGTATAATTACAGGTAGTTAGAAGAGAACACTGTTTCGGCGAAGAGTCACCACATAACTAAGGTAGCTAGTTATGGTTTATATCTTTGTTTGGGTATTTTCGCCATACGAATGCTTCTAGTTTCAATATGTCCTTGGTGGCTTTTACTGTAAGTGCAATAATGGATTAGCCGGAAGTGGTCAAGTTTGCAAAGGTAAGGTTAAGTCTCTGGAACCGTTTCTGAAAAGTGGCGACATATGTCCACCTTATCAACTTCTCTTCGTTATATAGCACCGAAAATATTTTCACAGGGGAGCTTTATTTTATGTGCCTCTAGTGGACTTAATGTTACTGACCAGTAGAAACCAAACACCATAGTGAGAAAATAGTTCGGTAAAATAAAGTTTGTTTAATTTTCACAACAGTAAATTTCAAAAA